ATTTCCACAGGCAAAAAATCGCTAGAAGTTTGTAATATAAGCGCCAACGGTAAAAGTGATTACCACCCGGAGGGAGTGTCTGAACGTTTTATTGAGCAGCTTCTTCCCAGGGTTGGACGAGTTTGTGCCCTCTGAACATCGAATGGCATCTTCTCCGCCTCCCTTGGAAGAATATGCAATTTCTTTTGCGATCGCTAATACCAAAGCGAAAAGGTCGCCAGGTTTGGATTGAATAACGGGTGAGATGGCAATCGCCATCTGGAAAGTTATTCCGGACTACCTGTTTAAGATGTACAGTAAATGCCTAGCGGATGGCCATTTTCCATCCCAATGGAAAGTGGCCAGGGTAGTACCGCTCTTGAAGCCGCCTGATAAAGTTAGGAGTGAGCCTAGCTCTTATCGGGGTATCAGTCTCCTCCCAGTGCTTGGTAAAGTGCTGGAGAGGGTGATGGTAGAAATGCTTCTGGAGATTCCTAGTCTGAGTCTGTCTGACAAACAGTTTGGGTTCCGAAAGGGACTCTCTACCGAGGATGCTTGGCTGCATGTGCAGAAATGCATTGATGCTAGTGAAGCAAAGTATGTGTAAGGGATATTTGTAGATTTCAAGGGTGCGTTTGATTATCGGAGATGGGATAAAGTCCTTGGCAGACTGAGGGAGGTAAATTGTCCAGAAATCAACCTCTGGACAAGTTATTTCTCTCAAAGACGCGCATGTGCTCTTAGTACCATCGACATGGTACAAAGAGACGTTGTAAGAGGGGTCAATCTGTGGTCCATACATTTGGAACATCATGATGGATCCTCTGTTAAGGCGGCTAGATGGCATATGCAAGTTTTCTGCATATGCCGACAACCTGCTCATACTAGTCGAAGGCCAAACGCGAGCTGTTATTCAGCAGCTCGGTGAGCGTGTAATAAACATGGTTACAGAGTGGGGGCAAGGTGTTGGTGTGAGTGTGTCACTGGAGAAGACCGTGATGATGCCATTGAAAGGTAGTCTCTCACGCGGTCGACCGCCAGTGATTAGAATGGGGCTAGTCTCAGGTACAAGACTGTTGTCAAGTATCTGGGTATTAGCATAGGTAAAAGGATGAGTTTTCTCCCTCACTTCGCAAGAGTGAAGGAGAAACTTTTGAATGTGGTGGGACAGGTCCGCCGTGTCCTACGGAGTGAATGGGGACTAACTAGACGTGCTGTTCAGGCCATATATGGTGGACTATTCGTGGCCTGTGCGACTTATGGGTCACCAATATGGCACCGAGCGATCACGACCGTTGTTGGCCAAAATAAAATTTTGAGTTGCCAGCGGGTTATGTTGTTAGCTTGTCTACCCGTGTGTCGGAGAGTTTCAACGGACGCTTTACAAGTTTTGTTGGGTGCACCCCCTTTAGACCTGGAAGCAAGGCGAATTCGCACTGCTTTCAGGATAAAGAGGGGACTGCCGTTACTGCCAACTGACGGGTTAAGTAATGATGAAGTAGAGAGGTTAAATTTCAGGGAGCGTATCACGCTTTTAAAGGAACGTGTCCGTGCCTTATGGCAATCTCGTTGAGAAAACAGTTCGAAAGGAAGAGCGACCGTTGAATTTATCCGCGATGTCTCGTTTGTAGAAAAACATCCAGATTTTAGCTGTTGGTTTATCTGGGATTTCTACTTACGGGCCACGGATCTCTTAATACATATTTGCATAAGAGAGGTCTGTCTGGAACTGCGGCTTGCCTATATGGCATGTCTGAAGATTGGTTGCACGTTTTGTGTATTTGCTCCAAGTATTCGGATTTTAGAGACTTGGAAGCAATGGGTATACGACAGACGAATGGGAACTTTGACCTCAGTCTGGCCCTCTCTACTTCTGAGACGGTGGCAGCTTTGGGCGCGTATACTACGCGGGCGTTCATCAGACGCGGCGCCGAGAGACTTGGTCTGGACAACTCTGTCTGATCCTCTTCAGTGCTCTTCTTGTACGGGGACAAGGACATAAGAACAGGGGATTAGGAGTTGCATGGAGCTCTTAAATTTTACCAGAGGCTTCCTCTTTCTGGTTGCTGATGTAGGGAAGTCCGTTCCCCCGTTTCCCTACATCGCTATTGTTGTACACTCGGTCTTGGGACTTTGTCCACTATAATTTTCATTTATTCTTTTTTTCTCAAGGGGTTGAGATAGGCCTCGCTCCGCTCTGTGAGAATACTATGCCCAAGCGCATAATATAGACTGGTTTTCTTTCAAATGACTATCTCATGCCGAGTGGGAGTCTTATGGGACCTAGAAAGTCCGACCTGAGTCTTTTATAAATTATTTTCTTGATTTTCTCCTCAATTCCGGTACCACGGGCGTCAGGAGCGCCCAAAGCACTTCCTCTAGCTTTGGCCTGACAACGGGATCGGCCCATAGCGGGAGTTTCGTGGTGGCTGTGGTTGGCCGAAAAATCGCGGGAAGAGCTTCTTGCTCGGTGTGGAGTTGCATTGCAACCGCGTGCCTTACCCACAGAAAGGCAGAGGTTTTAGGTAGGCCTCACCCTCACCAGAGGGGAGATGCGACTATAAGGTATTTCGTCTGGTACTCGGGTACTTAATATTCCTCATGGCAACGTGTGCGCCGACTTCGGCACCGTATGTTGTTAACCTCGGAGAGTTCGAGTGTTTCACACTCCGTGTGCCATCGGGCACCGTGGGGTTAAACCTTCACGGTAGTGTACCCACGTTAAACCCTCGGAGACAGCTGAAGCTATTGTCTCTCCTCCTGGGGGGTGATCACTCAACTTAACATGCTTGTTAAATAGGACCAAAGATGGGTAGTCTAATCTAGACTAGAATCAAGACACCTAAGTAGTTGTTCCCTTTTCTCGTTCAAGTCGATGCTTAACATCCCCGAATCAAAAAAGTAACCTAAAAGAGAGTTAACGTAGCAAATAAGCATATGGTCACTGTGCGGCTGCTTTGGAAGCAATTATAGTTTGTTTGGCACATTGCAAAATTCTTATATGTAACCAATTTTATCAAACACCGCAATGCGCACCTCAAATCATTCTCTCTGCTATTTTTGAGGTTGACGTTGCAGCTCCATAGCTGAAAAAACAGCTAAATTAGTGAACACATGGAGGGCGGGTTTAATTTGTTACAATCATTCAATACGAATATGAATTTGAATCAATAACCCGATGGAGCAATCGCTTTTCAAATAATGAACCCCACCAATAAATGTGTGGTGCCTCTTAAATTAAATTTTTGTTGTTTCGTTTCAAGATTTAAGTCTTCTTATTCTAAGCATCGTCCAAGAAAAAGAGAAAAAATTTCAAATAACGAATTGAATTACTTTTTATGTTCTAACCATGGTCATAACAAATCGTATTTTTGAAATCCTTTGAATAAATTCTTTTGATTTTTTTAGCTATTATTGACGTATTTGTAAGCAAATTATTTTTACAAATATCCGTCTGAGAACCGAGTCGTAAGTTCAAATCTAAAGTGCAGTAGAATGTTTAATAAAGCCGAAAGGCTTAGATGCTAGTGTTTTAAGACCATAGTCTTAGAATTTATTCTCTGGCTAAATTTATAATAATAATAATAATATGTTTACAAATACAATTGTAAAGTTTATTTAAAATTTAGCTTTAATAACAGTTATGGCTAAATGCTGTTAAAATATGTTTTGGTTATTGTATACATATTCATTTGGTGAATTTCCAATTGCATATGTGGAAAGGTTTGTTAATTATTCCGATAATAATGTTAGCTTTTAACTTTTAGCAGCAGACGGCTATGTCTCAGGTCAGTGCTCAGCAGACTACTCAAAACCACTTTATTATACGTCTAAATTAATTTTGCATCATTTTAAAGGCAGGCCTGAATAGTATTGTATTGAATGGAATATATAGAATATAACATTGTCTGTCTATGAAAAACTGGCTCATATTGAAGTATCAATTGTCTTCCTGATATGCCAGCAACGTCTTTTTTTTTAATAGGGTGGTTTGTCAGAAAGAAAAATACTGCCGAATTTAGGTGGATTCAACGATACCTGTCTCCAAATTTCAAAAATGGTCGTTCCACACATATATTGTGGCTTTCACTTTGGCGTTCTGACTGATAGAGATCTGTCTTAAGACAAATATGAATATCTCTCCCAATTGCCTCTTTTCTTTCACTAAATTCATAAATAGTCGAAACTAGGTAGAGGTCAAGAAAAAAATAATATCGAGGAGCTATACTTTGTATTTTAAAAAGGCAAGATACGTGAATGTTAATTATGCGTATTTAAATTAATTAACGTACGAAACTTACTGTCAGAATTCGCATGAGCGACCGAGTAGGTAAGAGTCGCGACTACAAAGTCAGAATCCGGCGGTTCAAACTTTAATGCGGTAGGGTTTACTTTGGTCATAGCCATAGTTAGTGCTCACTGAGTAAAGGCATAACACCTACTGATTGGTCACACATACACGGCATGTTCCATGGCCGATGCTGTAGTGCCTATCCAATATTAATTTTTTTTCAATACCTTTACAACGCGCAGAAACAACTGTCAAAACCCTCACAAAGTATACAAATTCTTGGACAGTTTCAAATTTGGAATGCACCTAAGAATCTGCGCCTGTTCGTATCTCCGTCAGCCCGATCGCAAAAATGAAGATATCGCTTACAAATTTGCAAAAGAACTTGGAAGCGATATATACTTTGCAAAGAAGATGCCTACAACGCCGACACGCCCATGTGACAAAACTTTTATTTTGAAAATAGAAAACATCCGCCGAGCCCTCTCCATATAATAGATTATGTAAATTTAGTTCTTTAATTTTTTTATCTTTTTTAGGATAACGGTAATAGATATAAAAGATTCAGTAACGACCGGATATAATTTTCTTGCTTGTTTTCTTTCTTATTGATTCGCATAAAAACACTCCGATATAGAATATTTCTAAAATTATCATCATGAAAACGTGACGGATATTATAATAAAGTTTTTTTTTTTGTATACTTAAATAAAAATTCATTTTATTTTAGGCTTCGTGAACGGTTTGAAAAATTAAAAAATGGTGAAAACAATCAGCCTGTTCGACCTCATCAACAAGTGAACCGTTTTCTTGTAAGTAAAAGTAGCTTCGACCTAAACATATTTGTTAAACATATTAATTAAAATTGATCGCACCATCAAATTTAATACAAATGTATTATGTTAATAACGCTAGAATAAATGTTGTTTACGCTTTTCTTATAACCATTGTCCACTAATCCTTTACTAATGCAAGAAGCAGCAAGTACTCATACAAATTTGTGGTTAGAAATGTTATTGCTTTCGTACAATCACTTTTTCTAAATTATTTTTACGCCTACTTTATTTTACTGCGATGCTAAAAATTGTTTATATATACATATAACATATAACACCAACTTATGCCCGCATAGAATGATGACATGGATGCAAAAGTGTTAGCCATATTTTGCCTCTGTTGATTTGGTGACAAATAATACAAGATAGATTACACAGCATATGATATGTAATATACGACATATAATATATGATATACAATAGATGACGTATCGTATATAATATGTAACATCCAAAATAAGATATACAGTATACTATATATAATATATGGTATCACGTAAAGTATGTTATATGAAATAGCCGTTTTTGTATTTTTCTGTTCAACTTACCGGCCGGGATTGTTGTAATATTTTGATGAAAGTTAGTACACAGACGTCTTTCGGCCCAAGGGCGGATGCAAATAAAAATGGTTCAGGTCCGACGACTTCTTCGAAGCCTCCTGTATAAAGGAGGTTTTGCCTGTTCAAAACTAGTTCAGTAACCACCTTAAAAAAGAACAAACGTACGGTATCTTCAACAAAAATATATATGTTATATATATATGTAATTGTATTCGTGTCGTAGTAGTTTCTGTCGGCAGGATAATCAACTATTCTGTCCTAAGCCATCATCCGCCCTTCGCTAATCTTCCATCACATCTCTCTGTCCCTACACCAGTTAATCCGTTATGTCACTATCACGTCTCTCATAATGCACCTGTTCTCTATTCCTTCACATCATACCTCGTCTAGCTACAGCGAGGCCATTGCGTTTATTTCTTTAATAACTCGATTTTTAAACTATAAAATTTTAAAGTTACCAAAGGGGAGCCATCAAAAAATCTTAATAGCACATGAATGTACATAAGATGAAGATACTTAGGTTAATAAAGTCTTCGTCAAAGTAAATCTTCATAAGGATATCTTACGCTGATATTGACCGAATATTACCGTATTAATATGCTTTGAAATAATCAAAAAGAAATATTAAGAAAGTTGGAAGCTCCCCATGGATGCGTCTGTTTGGCTACTCCTCATCTAAAATAAGTAACTATTATGTCGAGTCATAATTAATTTTCGATGAAGCTAACTAGAATCTATTGTTCGTATATACCCAATATAAGCCACTGAAGCAAACAAGTTTTTGTTTTCACTACATATGAGAATTTAGTTAGTCTTCTGTCAACTGTTTTATGTGTTGAACCTTGCATCCAATTGTTTTTCTAAACCCCTGAAGTTGAGAATCAAAAATTGCATATTCGACATGTCATGCTTTGGGAATTTAAACAAGGCAAAAACGACAATGCTGCAGTTAAATAAAAAATATGCAAGACTGATAACTGAAGGACTGGTAATAGGTGAAATTGTCCTTCTGACTTGGGCGACTAAGGCAATATTGGAACAAAATCCACGCCAATCGAGAAGAGGTATAGCAAAAAGATTCCTGATAATGTAATATAAAACAATATAATTTTGTTATGCAATGAAAATAAACTAAATGTCTGATAAAAAAACTAGTTATGACTCGGCCTAATATATGCTCTCAACATGATACGTCTGCAATTAATTGAAGGCTTTATTATGTTATTTCATAAGAAGTTTTATTAGGTTATTTCATAAGAATACGCATAGAGAAGGCAAAGGTGCGTTGGGTAATTTCATTGAATAGTTAGTTATTAAAAATAGTAATTCAATCTGTTTTATCTCGTTGTTATATTATTATGTTATATTATGCTCTATTAATTTATTGGAATTGTCTTCATACATCACGCTTTTTCTTAACGAATGTGATTTATATCGGACTTTCCAAATCTTTTTATAAAATGAGTCACAGTCTACTAGCTTATAAAACCATTTTAATTTTTTTTCGTGGAAATTCGTCTCTCGGTGTACACATTATCTCACTGGTCGAAATCAAAAAGTATTATTCGACCCACCTTTTGTTTGGGATGTTTTCATATCGGTCGGGGTTTTCCAGGGATGCCACGGAAATCCCCAAGGGAGCTCTCTTTTTCGGTTCTCATTAATTTCTTATTAACGATCTGTATTCGTAACGTAAGAGTTTTGATGTGTCAAAATCTTTTCTTCGTTGGACTGCATTGCAGAAATAGGGACAAAAGGATAAACTTCCTCAATAATTTTCAGCATACCAGAAGCAAATATAATATTGCCTGAAAAATTCTGTACCGATCAATATAAAGAAATTCTAAACTGAGCTTTGTAAATACGATGCTTTGATATAAAGTCGTTTTGCATACAATTTTATTGTTTGCCTGCGCAATATGGGGTAACTATGCCGTAGTCTACTATTCCAAATGATCCTGTGTATTTTTCTACTAAGTACTTGCACAAAATATCGAATTACAAACAGAAGTTCTCAAATAGAAAAAAAAAAAATGATTTTAAATATCCTCTTATTTGATAACATTTTTATAAATCACCTTTTTGTAAAACTTTGCTGCGGACATTTATAAATTGTATAAAGTGTAACATTCAATAAACACTTGATCAATAAACACTTGTTCTGCTCAATAAATTCTTTGAAATCGATAATGCTCTGACAGTGCGTAATAGCACTAATAAACCTGTGTAACTCCAACGTATTGAAAAATCTTACATACTGGCAATGCTGGTGTAAATAGATGAAAAATTAGCACTTTGAATAGTACGAACAAAGAAATATTTAATATTCAAACAAAGAAATATTTAATAAAATTACTTTTCGCCATATTAAACTCATGATTACCAACTCCAACGTTTATGCAACGATGACGGAAAACCAATAAACTGGAACGCAACGCAGTACTAACCAAATTTCTCGGTCAAAATTCTTCCTTTTTGGCATCTTCGTCCAGAATTGTGGTTTGCGCAAGTGCGTGCAATAGTTTCCATTGGTATTGAAGCACTGATAAAAGAGCACGTATGACGGATAAAATAGCAAAAGTTAACGAGCCACCTTAAATCCGCTCTGTTGCATCACATGAACGCTTTATCGCATGTCATATTACTGGATATATATATATATAGCGCTATCGAAAACGAAGGTAATGCAATGCAGACGTTCATGCCAAAATGTATGTTGATATCATAAAAATTCGGCTCTAATGGCACACAGACTTTCGGGTACAAAATTTTAAATTGATACAGGTGCTGAAAGCAGTCATTCCACCTATAATTGCCTAGCATAAAAATATATCTATATGCTAGGTAATGAATCAATTATTGCGACTTATGAGGAACCAACATGATTTCTGGATTTTGGACTGAGGCGTAAATTTACTTGGACTTTCATCATCGTGAATGTCTCCCAACCCATAACGTGAGTAAATTTTTTGGAAAAGCAGTGAAGGCTTCCCGACAGTTTCAAACCTAGGCGATTCCCGTGAGTAAACTTAAATTCTCCTAAAAAACAGTCTCAAATTTTGTGAGATGCACGCATCTGTCTGACATCCATGTAGTATGGTACAAGGAAGAACGGCGGAAAACGTGCGGCGATTACAGCCGTCTGACATTCATGTAGTATGGTAAAAAGGAAGAACGATTGGGAACGTGCGGCAGTTACAGAGGTTCTTAAAGCATCACTGAACCGGGCCGGTATCCACTACCTCAAATCCACGATTTTCGTCGCTGCACGATTTTTTCAACAATTGTTTACCGACGCACATATCATCGCGTGAAGAAATGCTTAATAAATTTTTTAACGCTTCATAAACTTTGCATACTACCTGATGTCGACTTTGCTTCGGTTTATTAAGACGATGTTCTAATAGCATCGAAAAATGAAGCAGATTATTGAACACTTTTAAAAAAATCTTTCGAAAAAGGTGAGAACTGCTAACCTTTTATTCAGAACGGGTAAATTCAGCCAAACAATACAAGAGTACACATGATAGGGGATTATTAGCCTCATATAAAGCAGTTAGCTATTTGAAACATATTTTAGAAGGCCGACGGTATTGTATTTTTACAGACAATAAACCGTTAAACATCGTTTTCTCCAAAACAGAAAAAACTTGATTGCGGAAAATTCGTAAATTGAATTTTCCATCGATCCTCCACATATATATGATATTTGCCTGGTAATCAAAATGTCGTTGCTGATTCATTATGAAGCATTAAAGCATTATATACCGATATTGTTATCAATTACAATATGTCAGTTTTCAGTGAAGAAAGCAATGAAGCATTCAAAAAATTTTTAACTTGATTATTATCTCTCATATTTAAGACTCTCTTATTATTTGCCACAAAAATACAGTTGCTACGCGATATTAATACCATCACCGCATCTTCGAGAAATTTCGCAAATTGGCAGTTAATTCCATATACATTTTTGCTGTAAGCAAAACTACAAAATAAGACGCGGAAAGATTTGTTTGGGCTTACAAAATAAGTGGTCCTCGAAAATGGTCACGATCTTGCACAGCATTTTGGACAGCTGGGATACAACAACATAATGGTCAATAATAGTAACATACGAAATACAGAATCATTCATTTGAACATATAAGTAGAGATAATAACGTAATGCATAAGTTTCGATAGAAGAAGACAATTCCAGCCGTCACTGTTTCGAAATATCACAAGACTACTCGGAATGAGATGTTCAAAGACCACAGCATAACGTACGCAGAGTAACGGAATCGTAGAAGGGTCCTACAGGACAGTAAAAGTAGAGATCAAATGTTATCAAATGGGTTAATATTTTGCCATTAATATTATTAGATTATCGCAGCTGTATAAAAGGAGATATTGGATTAAGTCCAGAAGAAATGGTATACACCATTCATCTAAAAGCAACTGACAACTGCCCTTTTATCTGACACGATGCTGCCAAATGACCAGTGCAGGCAAATTATTAAGCAACTAAGAGCCGCTTTCACAACACAGACACTCTTCCTTAAGTCTATACAACACGTTCGGATAGAAAAGCACGTTATAAAATCAATTAGAGGGGTGGATTATTTTTGAATTTATAATCACATAGAGTTAAGCAAATATGCAAAATATTTAAATATATAATCTCTTGAGAAACGTAGATTTGTTCTTGGCGTTTCCTTTCTAATTAAAGTAATAAATGGTGCTATTGACTCGCCTTCATTACTTGGTGAAGTAAGCTTCAATGTCCCTAACCGCTTCTCTAGGCACTTTATCTTGGTAAAGCTTAATCAGTGTAAATTTAATTATGAGCTGTCCAATCCGCTCAGAGTCGTTTGCAAGAACCTAAATGACGTCTACCACTTATTCTCGTTATCGGACTCTTTAAAGTCCATTAAAGCAACATTGCTTAATACGCGCGATTTACCTATGTCGTATTTAAACTAGCTTTTATCCTTAAAAAGTCGTTACGTTTCGAAAGTGAATTATTGTCAATTTATTATCGGTTGCCAGGCTTATGCATGTTTGCGATGGCTTAGGGGTTCATTTGCAATTTGATCCTGTACCGGTTGTAAGTGTGCTCCTATGCTGATAGTGTACATGCTTTTTTTTCTTTTTTCTTTTTCTTTTTTTTTTTTTTCTTCTTATTTGTTTTATTATGCTTATACTCAATTTTATTGTTAATTAATATTAGTTTTGCATTAAGAGCCTATTGAACTCGACTGCTATTTGTTTAGTTGAGTTTCTAGTATAAGTGGAATAAAATAAATAAATAAATAAATAAATAAATATAAATAACAGAAGTTAGTTTACTCTGTCTATTGAAAAATAAGATTTCAACTTACATAAGTTTGCAACGCCAGTGGTCCATGTAAAATGAAATGAAAAATTTTATGAAGAATAAATTATTGAATGTGTCAAAATTTTGCTAGAAAAGTGTTAATGAAAAATGAATATAATGTTTTCTTCTGTCTTAAAAGATGGATGTTCTTATTGGTTTCAACAGCGTCTTTTCTCTACTTGCTGCCCCTCCAGCCGCGTTGATTGCTGGACCTCCTTGGTCAGAAAGGGCATCGTTGAGTTCCACCTAGGTTCACCATACGCTACAAGTTTTGGCCAATTGAACATCACATGCTTCACATATTTTTGCTTTTCTGAACAGCCTAGGAATAACGATGAACAGTCATGTCCGAACCTCTGTAGATAACTTAGAAAGCAATTACGACGATTTAGGAGCTGTATACGATAATAGCCACCCTCGTAACGCCGTCTTTTGATCCATTTTTCTACATTGAAAATAGACGAGAACTTCCACCTACCTTTCGATACGCTCTTCCATCGCGCTTCCTATTTGTTCTCTAAGCTGCGCCTGCTCTTAATGCTTGTTTTCGAAGATATGTTTTATCTCACCCGCCAAGTGGTCAATCGGAGTCGCCCCCGCAATCCCGCTTCTTCCGAGATGTTTCGAATGTCTGCGCGTTAAGTGCGTTGAGGGGATATAAGATCAACATCTTCATGTTTCTTTCTCCATTAAAGACGATTGAATCCCGAGTGCTCTATCCGCCTCAATATGAATGTCTATGTAATAGACACTGTAGTGGGGGAAAAAAAGAAGGAAAGGAAAACTTTGGCAACTTTGGCAAAGCGGCAAGCGGCGCGAAGAAAAAAGTAACTGGGGCAACTTGGAAAAAAAAGAGGAAAGAAAAAGCGAGAAAAAAAAATGCAGCTTTCATTAGAGTTTTGTTTGTAAATATTTTTGGAATAAAATTGAAATTCATGCCGTGCTATCGCTACTTTAAGACAAATAATTTCAGTGAATGATAATGAAAGTGAATTTATAAGAATTATAGAAAGAATAAATCCCGAATAGTTTTATTGGAAATATATGAAAAAAATTGCAAACTGAAAAGGCTTTGATAGTTTTAGTAAAGCCGGAATAATTGGAACGCTATTCATTGTTCAGATACAAAAGCACAAGGTCACTAAGGTTAATTAATTTTGAAGTTATACAAAAGTGCAAAGAGAAAAAGAACGAGAATCAAGAAGTACTAACGTTCGCGTCAGAGGGCTGGAATTAACGATCGCTAGGTTGTGCCCATTAAAAATTGGATGATGAATGTGCAGTTCATTAATGCAAATGAGAAGGAGAAAACTTTTAAAAAATAAAGGTGTAGATTGATTTAGCTAAATTGTTGGTCGGCTGCGGGTGTTGTACGAGACACCTTTATATAAAAAGAGATTAATTGAAATTAAAGAAAAGATAGCTATTTATGTTACACAAGGGAACAATATATGAGTTTTTTAATTTTTTTTTATAAAAACAAAAACCGACAAACAATGTCTCCGCACATTTTTAAGAACTGTGTCTTATAAAAAGGGTAGAAAGTCTCAAAGCCCAAGAAAAAAAAAAAGAAAGGGGAAAAACTGACAAGCTAATGTACAAGAAGGAGTGTAAAACACGAAAGAATCAATAAAATGTTAAAGTAGCATTTCTCTTCACACCGGTTGGTGCGTGGTATCTCTAAGTGGTCGAAACAATAATTGACATTTCTTTTGAGTTATATTTCCTAAATATTAAACAATTTTTTTTTTAAATTTTAAAAGCTATAATTTGTTAACAAACCTTTTAGCTGCGGCGATGCGCATCTACGTGGTTGTTAGTTTGGGTAAGTTTATTTATAAAATCGATTAATAACCATTGTTCATTTTGAAAATTTTGTTTTGAAATATGGAATTAAAACATTATAACACTTTCGTTGGAAAATAAAATAAGAGAAATGTATTATTATTAAAGGTTGAATCACTGGTAAGACTTCCTGTGGATGACGGAGGGGCAAGGTAAAAGTAATATGGTTAGGGCGTGGAATAAATTAGTTAAAAGTTTTCAATTTTATTAGTAAGCATGTTTTATTTAAAATAATAAAATATTGTAGCGAAGGAAGAACCTAGCACGTATCTGAATGCATTTTATTTGGACACACCCCATCCGACGAGCCAGGCCGGAAAACATGAGAACAAAAAAAAAGGTAAAAGTAACCAATAACATCCTTGCATAGGTCGAATTCTCGAAACGTTACATCTACCGTAAGCTGCTTAAGTTTGGGAGAATACAGAATGATATGGTTACCAACTCTCACGCATATATTTTTGACGCTTTTTTATTTGCAACAGCGGTATCTGGAAGAGTTGAATAAAATTGTTGATTTTGTTATTATTGCGTATAAATTTTTATTGGCTGTTATCGGAGGGAAAAGCTATTATCGTCCAAGCGACTTACTTTGTAATTGAAATAAAAATAAGGAACTCTTATAATAAATTTATTTTCTAAAAGCAATAAGGTTCTTTCGGCAACGATGCTACTAAAAATATTTCATGAAAATTTTGGGATCTTTTGGTTGGGTTTCCTTTGGACAGCATGTCGTTCGATAATTACATTTTATTTTGAATTTTAGATTATTTAGTTTGGCTTCGGTGGATTAAGGTTGCTATAAATTTTTTTTTTTGTATTATCGGGAGATAAAGTATTACATCAAGTTTTTCTTAAACAGGTTTTCGCTAACTTATCGTGTGATTTTAACAAAATATTGCATGGAAACAACATTGAGATTATATCAGATTCCTGTAGTTATTATTGATGCCATTATAATGAGGAATCACAGAAATTAGTTTCGGATGATGGCCATAGCTTACATAGGATTACATAATATCCCGGATTAGTTAGGTGAGAGTCCGTGGGGCGTTCCATAGCTGAATCAAATCTACATATTATTAAAAAAAATATACAACAACGCCAACTGGGCTGCCTATTTCGTTAGTTTAGAGTAAGTTAGTTTGGAGCAGACTATTTTAGTATTTCCTTGTCATACCAGGATGGCAATCCACCCAACGTCCATTGGCAGAGAACGATAAGCTTGGCGAAAGTCATACTCCTGATGAGTATAGACATGCATCTAAATATTTGTAACTAACTTCAAAATTTCTGTTTTTGTTATTGTATATGTTCTATGAAACAATTTAATAGTTAGCACTTAAAATTATATTACCTACTCATTGAAAAAAATCCAAAAAGATAGGAATATTGAGTAAATACTGTTACCGCTTAAATGTATCGCTACTTAGCGTATCTATCCCATAATTTTCTTATATACAGCAAAAGCTCCTTATTCGCGGGGTATACGTTCCGTAAAAATGCCGCGGAGACAAAAACCGTGAATACGGAATTAGTAATTTATGTGGGATTATAGGGGTACGTTCCTAGGTGACAAAATAAAAAAGCAAACCGTGAATACGGAATGGTAATTTATATGGGATTATAGGGGATACGTTCCTAGGAGACAAAACAAAAAAAAAAAAAAAATAAAATAC